TGTAACGAGGTCAGGCTATATTGGCGATGTATAGTTTGATCTGCAATAGTAAGAGGATGGAGTGAAGTTCTGAAAAAAAAATTTGAAAGTTATAACGAAGTTGAAGAGACAGCTGACTTTTGTTAGGAAAGTTTCTTTTCTACCTTGAAATATATTCGGAATTCATTGGAAGATTGAGTGCAAAGAGTACTTTTGACATCGTTTTGGTATACATTCACTCGAGGTTCCAACGTAAATCACAAAAAGTGAATGAATTTCAAAAAAAATACGATCAATTTACAAGTCCTTGAATTCCTGTTTTTTTAGTATTCTTATAATACCACAGTTTTCCAATCATTCTAGAAACAGCTGTTCCATTCACAAATGAAAAACTAGGCGAATAAGCTAAAGCAGAAAATAGGGCAGTATACTTCGATCCTATACCAGGAAACTGGTAAACGGTTCTAGACATTGAATTATACATAAAGATTTAACTGGAATATGGTACTGCATGGTCTTTAGTAACATAATAATAAGTTATTTTATGTCCATACTGCAATCAACCGAGGCTTTTCTTTTTTATATATATTTTATTATGTAAAATATTGAAGACCTACCGATATAATAATATCTGACATATGTATCTACGGCTTTAGAAATAAATGAGAGCGTTTAGAAAAATGGAAATATTTCAACTCACTTATTTTGAAGTTGTCCTAAAAAACACGACCTTTGGTAGTTGAGTTTAGGTTCAGTTTACAGTGAATAAACCTAGGCTAAAATAATTTGTACATCTTTTGTGCATCTGCTATAATAGTAGCTACCCGACGCATTTCATAAGACTTTTTTTTTCCTGAACCACAATACCAAGAAATATTAACATAATTCTTAGAAAATACCTTACACAGTTATAAATAAAGTTCAGATTCTGTTGACAATAAGCTCCTAAAGCTCGCACAGGAGTATATTTGGGTCGTATGGTATTTGTATGGACTAAGAGGGTCACTTTTTTGTACAATTTATATACCACTTAAGGGTAAGAATATTTTATTTCTGGATAACATAGTTGGCAAAATGTTTTTATTGTACACGCCCAAATACATCAACCCATAATTTACCTTTAGTTGATAATGCATTAAAGAAATATAATCAGGCAGTTTCATTTGAATTTCTGTCTTAATTTTAACAAATATTTAGGTCTTGCTTCGACGAAATTGGGTCACTTCGACCGGATTGATACGGCTTCATAAAACCCCAGCGTTAAATAACGCTTGCGTAATATTTTTTAACGCAAAGAAGAATATTTAGATAATGTTCTCAACAAAATAAAAATACTTTCTAATTTTTTAATTTTCAATTTTCTTATTGTTCCAGATATGTGAGAGTGACTCACGATGGCTTTCCTCCAGGTGGCACGGAGGGTACCCAGCCAATTGGACAGCTTCCTTATAAAGGTCGACACCAAAACCTGAGGATGAACAAGCACCGGTGGAGCCAACTTCTATAAAATGGAGTTCGCCTCTGTTTTACCTACTAATGTAAGTTTAAAATGCACTTGTTTTGTAGATAAGCAAGAACTTAAAGACCCTTTGAATTCGGTTAGATCTTCCTCTTCTGCAGTAAGAAAAAGAAAAGAAAAAATGTATTCTTCTGTGTGTGTATGTAAAGAATAAACTCATAAACTACTAAGCCAATTTCAAAAAATCATTCACTGTTGCTAAGCTGCCTTTATCCTGATATACATATACATACGCTATACTCATTTTTGATATTAACGTAACTCCTTAGAATATTATTCTAAACATTATCCTTGTAAAAATAATAAATGGAGTTTAAGTTTACTTTTTAAATAATAACTCACCCCGATTCATTCATTCCCGAAAAGTGGATATTAACAATTAAAATTCCAAACATTTAACTACGCCAGTCATTTAAAAAAGGCATGATAATACCTAAATGCCCGCCACTAGCGTTGCCAGACCAGTACAATGGCATACCGAGGCCTGGCTCGAAACAAAAATGGAACTGAATGGTTTTTATTCAGTGAGAGTTTGACCCTCCCTCTTGCCTTATCCAAGACTGGAGAACTTACAAAAAACATTTTACAATGTTCCTCGTCAAAAAATAAGTATCTACCCATATTGAACTCTACAACTAATTTAAAACTACAGAATACGTGCGATGCTTCATTTTATAGACATTTTACGACAGCGTAGTCAGCGTAGCTGGCGTAGCACACTGATTGCTACGACGTAGCAGCTCTAGTTTGTATCCTTAATCTGTGATCTATTTTTTTATGGAAATCTGGAAATAATTGCCTTCAGTTTATTACTGAATGTGTTTGACGTCATAAGCAGAAAATGCTATTATAAACTTTCACCCCCAGATTCGCTTTAATCATTACACAACATAGACGTCACCGTTCCAAACATCCGACAAGTATCAAAACTTAAATAGTTACTTATATAATTTAAATTACTAATAACATCTACAACGTGCCCATTTTAATCATCTTAAGACGTATAATGGATAACCATAAAGTTCAATTTCCGTTGGCATATCGCTTTCCTAATCTAGTTAAGAGTTAACTGAAATCTTCAAACTTAAGTTATTTAAGTTATAAGCATTCGATATTGCCTTCGCAACATGTGTTTAAATTGCTTTAACTGTGAAGTAGTTATGGAACAATCTTTAGTATTTAATGATTATTATGTAAGGTTTAATATGAGATGGCCTAGTAATATTGGCCCAGATTTGATTGGGTTTTCGATTCTTATGTAACCTTGGCAAGTAACGAAATGAATTATACTGAGTTATATCTTTCTTTTAAAATAATTTAGACACTAATGACGAACAAATAAATTATTTATTGTTATGGCTAACTTTCTTACGTATAAAACACCTCAGGATTACGAATACTATAACAGTCTGATAAAGTTTAAAAATCGAGCTTCTCAGCTACTGCTGACTATATAACAACATTGTGTTCAATTTTTTTAATGAAAAAAAGTCATTGCAATATTGTTATGTATTTTTTTCGGGATGTTGTATTTTTTATTAAAATAAAATACAACATAAAATTGTAAAATGAATAAATATGATTGTTGTTTATTTAGACACACACACAATACTATATTTTTTTTAATAATTTAATGGCCACTCTATCTGCATTATGAAAATACAAATAAATTTTATTATAATTGACTTCCACAAAATAATGTGACATTTATGAATGGATGATAAAATAATGAGTCAACCGCATATGTTTTGCTGTAAAAAGATAAAGCTTTTCAGTATAAGTGTCGCTGAATGAGTGTGCAATTGAGAACGGCTTTAAATTAATGTGTTCATAAATGCAATATGTAGGAGCAAAAATCTGAACTTCGTATAAAAGGATTTTGTGTATATAAAAAAACATGATTTCTTTTATTGAAAACAAGCTTTTGCCCGCCACCCCGTTTGGGTGGAATAGTGATATCCTGCAGTTTTTTGCTATAAAAACTATCCTATGTCCTTACTATGTCTGTACCAAATTCCACAGAAATCGGTTCAGTAGTTTAGGCGTGAGGAAAAGACAGGCAGACAGACAGAGTTACTTTCGCGTTTATAATATTCGTTTGGATAACGACTGTCGTATTGTAAAATTGTGTAATTGTATTGTACTATAGTTTCAAGCCACAACGGGACCCATATTCATAAGCGGCAACGGCACCACAACTTTTTTCAGTTTAACTGACTGATCCAATGAGTCCCAGCACTTTTAAATGCAAGTTATACGTGTAAATTACATTTGGGCTCAACCGGCTGAAGAGATCTGCTTCAACATTTTACAAACATACATAACAATCATGTACGTTTAAGTAAACATAAATAACATGTACGTTAAGGAAAGAAAGAAGAGATTTCTTGTGCTGCCAGAATAATACAAAACACCACCCAACTTTTGCTACAACCGTTAAACAGCTGTCTCTGATACACCTTTTTCTGAAAGGAGAGAGATGTTATCAAATTACTGTTCTCGACCAGAGGGTGTGGTGTTAGGGACAGACTCTTACTGAATAAAACTACCCAGTTCTTTCTCCTGCTTCAGGCCAAAGCCTCGATACATCAACCTAGGCAGCTCTCTGATAAACCTGAACATAATAAACTGCGTTCTCGATGTTGCTTGATAAGTATGTCATGATCAGGTAGCCCATAAGTGCTTACTGGTTATTAAAAAACCTCTTTCATTAGGAGAAATAATAAGCAACATTCACCACGCTTCCTCAACAAGGATTCTAATGATGTTGTCTTCCTTGAATATCAATGTTATCTAAATCTAAATAAACTAACAAAGTGTATATTTGAACTCGCCTGAAAGGTTACCTTCAGGCCACCGCGCACAAGCATCAAGTCTAAAGCAAATCCCCTTTAAGTAGAGGAGTTCCGAAGACCAGCTGTATTTAAGGCTATTATTGTATGCATGTACTACAAGAAAAACGCATTAGTCTTAGCGGCTGTTTCACTAACATCTTATATAGACACAATAAAGTTACATATGTAGTACACAGTTAGTGTGGGAGAGTCATGCTTCGGCATGAATGGGTCGGCTCGACCGGCGTGAACCACGTCCTCACAGAAAACAGGTGAAACAACCACAGCGTTGTTTTTCGCCGTGGGAGTGAGGTTACCCGAAGCCCTATCCTTCCCCTCCCCCAATCCCTCTTCAATCCCTAAATCTCCAAATACCTAATCCCCAAAAGAAAGATCTGCAACGTACGTATCTCGTCTGTTGCTGGTAATCCGTCTGCTCGTTTGCCGACCTATTACATAAAAAAATTTCATACAAATTACTCTCTATACTCGTATTATTTTTTCTATATTCAAATTTCTCAGGTACGTAGAGTCTATCTAGATATAGTGAACCAAGCCCTAAACAACACGTACATCGAAACTCCAACACAGAACCAATACCATCTCAATAAACCTACATCCCATTGCCTTCGATATTTTCATTTGAATAATTCATATGTTGTCCGTAGGTGGCGCTTCAGTTCAACGAGACGACTGTGGAATATGATGACGGAGATGACCCGGACGCTGTCACGTTGCTCTCCATATTGCTTGTCGGTTAGTACTTTATTGTTATACCTAGAACCTAATACCCGGTTGATAGTTACCTAACGCTTACCTAACGGTTAACCGGCTACTGTCTACTATTATTATTAACGCGGGTTGTACTATCAGTGTCATAAGTGCATGGAGGATTCCAAATCAAAATCGTTTGTACGGCGTTTCATCGCCATAATTATAGACCATGGATAACATAGATGGCGCTAGTATACTAGTGGTATGGAAAAATATACATTTACGGCCTTATTACAAAACAAGGTTTTACTTTAGTCTAGGACTAAACCATTGAGCCAGTTTTTGTGTTTCGAATTGAAGGGCGATGACAATAAGATTCAGAATTCAAAATCCGACTCAATGGTTTAAACCTGTACTAAAGATAAATCTTGTTTTGTAATCAGGGGGTTATAGTTTTTATTAGTTACAAAGTTATTACTTAATTTTTACACAAATTAATCCTACGTTATTCCAAACCTTTTTAAAGCAAAGCACGCAATAACCAGAATTTGAACTCGGTAGCATAAAATTTACCGATGCCACTAGCCATTAGACCACTTCGTCACTACGAAAATGTGTTGAAATTATCCTACTCTTTATTATATTGAAGTTGTTTAGCAACTTTAACTCGATTATAAATCTCAAAACAGTTGAGAGTTGAGTCACCATTAGTACGTAAGGATGTTTGTTTGTCTTTCACACGTAAAAACTACTGAACGGGTCTGACTAAAATTTGGCATAGAAATAGATTATAATGTGGAAAAACACATAGGCTATTTTTAACCAGAAGCTAGTAGCTTAGCGTATTATTTTCTTAAATACAATGAATAAAAAGATAAATGTGATAAACCAGTTTCTTCGCTAATATTAAGAAACATATTCGCAAAATCAAACTGATAATTTCATTCATTGAAAATTAACTAAGTACATTCATGAACTAGGCTTCCGTTCTGAAACTAAAAGAACTTTCATCAGTTAGTTTACATGATTAAGTCGTTATTTTCATAAGTTTGTCCCACGATAGTTACTAGATATACCTACAAAAGAATAATTTAGTTCTTAATTCGTCAAACCCATAGCGAAAGCCGGCGTTCGCATCGTTTTTCTATTGTGTCACGATTTACCACGATTGAAATGTTAACATTTAAATGAAAGTACTATTAAAAGTAAAAGTAAAAATATTCACAGAAAACCAAAACCTAATACTAAGTAGGTAAGTTAAGAAGTTCCACGCAGGTTTTTCATACACTTAATATTATTTCAGAAAGCCTGTTTCTTCCACGGCTGAGCACTTACCGAGACGTGTCTCAAATCACTGAACAAGTAATTCTCGCAGAATTTACAAGTTCATTATAAATGCTTTTCATTCTCTCTACTTGACTAAAGATGTATTGGAATTTTCTAGTTTAAAAGTTTCTGAATCATATTTTTTGCGTGCCAAATTAATTGTAGATTATATTACGCCACATTGTTTGAAAAGAATTATTAGAATGTTTTATTTTAAATTAATTTACTAAGGGCTTCCTGCATAAGAAAATCTACGCAAGGTGGACTTAATGCTATCAGCGTTTTCTGCCAGTCTGACCTTTGGGTGATGTAGAGAATTTCTTAAAATTTTACGTTTATAATGGTATATAGTTAGGTCTCGGGAGTGTGAAATAAGGGTTCGACACACGATCAACAGTGAAATATATACATTGAGACACTTTATACAGGTAAACTGATATTAAAACAACAACCGGCGCGGAGACTCACTCGTTTCGCGCCTACGCAAGCTTTTAGCAGTCAGTGGCGTGGTAGTGGTAAAGGGGTGTGGCGTTGCCCATAACGCCACGCGCATGCGTCCGACACAAACCGTTGGGATGTCGCGTTACACGTTTTATTTTATGTTTTAACGTCCCACTATAGGATTTTGTTCTGTGTCATGGATGCATTTAAAAATCTACAAATTCACATATTATGTACACTTGCACACTCAGACCAGGATCATAATTGTGAATTCTAATAAAAATATCTTTTTTATCTTCTTAGAAAAATAGGTAAAATTCCTCCAAAAAGTCTTACAGATGAAAGAGATTCGGATCTGTCCTCGATATTCTGTCGCCATCGATTACCAAAATGTTAAATAAGGATACCACTGTGTTGGCACTTAAGGCGTTTTGGTTATGACGCACGTACGATTCTTATTTCCATATTGAGCCGGGGTTGAATATAGTTTACCGATCGCTTATCATTTGAAGCAGGTTATGAGAGTCGAGAAAATCTCTCCCTGAGGTTCGATATTATTGAATTATTTATGCAACCCTTATCTATCGGGTTCTATTTCGAAATTATTTGTAGTAACACTGAGTTTGGAAGACTTTGTATTTTGTGAGACGTATTATGTGATAACCCCGACCCGGGTACGTCCTAAAACTGCGACCAGACACCGAGGAATGGGGAGCAGCATTCTTTAAAAATTATCGGTGACCTAACTGTCCTCGCCAACCCGCCTGCCAAGCGTGGTGAGTATTGGCAAATCCCCCCATATGAACTGCTCAGATAAAACCAGGCCCCCAGTCTTCGGCAGTCCCGCCGTTCCTGGCTACCGTGGTAGCGGTCAGGGTAACGGCGGGACACGGGGTGCTAAGAATCCCCGGAGGTGGAGAAAAGGCTACCACCCCCGACGACGACTGGCCCTGGTAACACACAATGTTCGCACTTTGAGGACAGACGAGAAGATTATTGAGCTGGAAGAGGCATTGGGTAGGTTGCACTGGAGTATTGTGGGGTTGTCAGAAGTCCGACGAGAGGGCGAGGACACGATAACCCTAAGATCCGGCAACCTATTCTACTACCGGGAGGGCGAACAACTGTCCCAAGGTGGTGTCGGGTTCCTCGTCCACAGGTCCCTCGTCAACAACATTCTTACCATCGAAAGTGTGTCGAGCAGGGTGGCGTACCTGATACTCAGGGTATCCAATAGATACTCGTTGAAGGTTATCCAGGTTTATGCACCGACCTCGACACACCCAGACGAGGAAGTAGAGGTTATGTATGAGGACATAAGTAGGGCCATACATACTAATAAAACCTACTTCAATGTTGTTATGGGGGACTTCAACGCGAAACTGGGAACTCGAGGCGATAACGAGCTGAGAGTGGGGCAATTCGGGTATGGGCAACGGAACCACAGGGGACAGAGACTGGCTGAGTTCCTGGAGAAGGAGGACCTCTTTGCGATGAACTCCTTTTTCCAGAAGCCGTCTCACAGGAAATGGACCTGGATGAGCCCGGACGGTTCCACAAAAAATGAGATCGACTTCATCATGACAACAAAGCGACAGATGTTCAATGATGTCTCTGTGATCCATAAAGTAAAAACCGGCAGCGATCACCGACTGGTCAGAGGCACATTGAATATCAATATAAAGCTGGAAAGATCACGTCTAATGAAGTCTACGCTCCGACCTTCAAATGCACATATCGGTTGTCCCGAGAGCTTTCAGATCGAGCTATCGAATCGTTTTGAGTCCCTGGAGAATTGCGAGTCAGTGGACGAGATTAGCAACAGGTTTGTAGAAACTGTCCATGCGGTCGGGTCGAAGTTTTTTAGACCCCGCCGAAAAGACAGACCGCAGAAGCTTACCGATCGCACCCTCAAACTCATGGCAGAACGACGTGCTATGGTACTCCAGACCTCTGCCGATGCTAAAGCACATCGGCAGCTCAATAGACAAATATGGAAGTCCATGCGACACGATATCCGCAACTTTAACGCCAATAGGGTTAAAGAAGCGATAGAGCGGAACCAAGGCTCCAAAGTGTTCGCTAGGGACATGTCTATTGGGCAAACACAGCTGACGAAGCTGAAGGCGGAGGATGGCAGTGTGGCGTCGACGAAGGCCGAAGTTTTGGGTGAGATCGAGAGGTTTTATGGACAGCTATACACATCGGTCACTAGACCTGTTAGCTCAGTCGCCGATCCAAGAGCTAAACTCACCCGACACTATACCGAGGATATCCCGGACATCAGCCTATACGAGATTAGGATGGCCCTCAAGCAGCTCAAGAACAACAAGGCGCCGGGCGAGGACGGAATCACATCAGAGCTTCTGAAAGCGGGCGGAACACCGGTACTGAGAGTCCTTCAGAAGCTCTTCAACTCCGTCATATTCGAAGGAGCAACGCCGGCGGCATGGAGCAGAAGTGTGGTGGTACTATTCTTCAAGAAGGGAGATAACACTCTACTGAAAAATTATGGACCCATCTCACTTCTGAGCCATGTCTACAAGTTATTCTCGAGGGTCATCACAAATCGTCTCACACGTAGGTTCGATGACTTCCAGCCTCCCGAACAAGCCGGTTTCCGGAAAGGCTATAGTACCATAGACCACATCCATACGATGCGGCAAGTTATACAGAAGACCGAGGAGTATAACTTGCCACTATGCTTGGCGTTTGTGGACTATGAGAAGGCTTTTGATTCGATCGAGACTTGGGCTGTGTTAAGATCTCTCCAGCGGTGCCATATTGACTTTCGGTACATCGAGGTTTTGAAGTGCTTATACACAAACGCCACTATGTCGGTCCAAGTACAAAACCAGAGCACTAAGAATATTCCTCTGCAGCGAGGTGTAAGGCAAGGAGACGTCATATCTCCGAAACTGTTTACCGCTGCATTGGAAGACGCTTTCAAGCTCTTGGAATGGAAAGGATCTGGCATCAACATCAACGGCAAGTACATCACTCACCTCCGGTTTGCCGACGACATTGTAGTCATGGCAGAATCGCTGGAGGATCTGAGCACAATGCTCGATGACCTCTGTAGAGTTTCTCAACAGGTAGGGCTCCGAATGAACATGGACAAGACGAAAGTCATGGCAAACGCCCATGTCACGCCCTATCCGATATCAGTTGGAAGTTCTAACCTCGAAATTGTTGACGAATATGTATACCTGGGACAAGTGATCCAGCTAGGTAGGTCCAATTTCGAGAAGGAGGTCAATCGTCGAATCCAACTT